CTCATGGTTATGCTAGTTGAATTCTATTACTAGCTGATTACATAATTTGTGGTTAATGCCAAGACTTATATCTCACTTTAACCTTTGTTTGCCTTCTAATTCTCCAATGCACTCTCTCTCTGTCTCTCTCTCATTTTATTTAATTAATAAACTTCATTGTAACCCTAGGTGTTGGAAGTTCTTGGGGCTATTTACAATAAGCTTTTAACTCATTTTGCGAAAAAAAAAAAAAAACATCCCTTTTTCTTACAACATAGTTTGGTCTAAGGTGCAATTTCAACAAATAATTGACATTCTTCTAAATATCCCACACGGATTAATCGTTTAAAAGAAGAGGATTGTCAAGAAAATTCATTTTTCTTACTTTGAGCAAAGTAAGTAACATGTCTATACCATCTACCATGTGGCAACCAAAAGTAGGATTTTTGGGAAAACAAAAACCCTATTAAAATTTAAAAGTTATAAAGACTTATTATAAGGTTTCTTTTTACAGTTAAAAAAAATTATGTATAAGGTTATTTATCTCCTAATTATTGTTATTTTTGAATTACTCCTTTAATTAATTTGTTTCTTATTTGTTCTCTGAACAATTTATCAAATTGATCTAATCGTAAGCGGAGGACATAAAAAAGGCAGTTAGTTGAAGTGATAAGTTTCCATTAAATTGACGTCAAAGCTAAAAATGTATATGTTATTATGTCTATGTGTGAATCCAGGGAAAAAAATAAAAAATAAAAAACTCCTTTAATGCTTAATTTAAAGGGTATTCCAATACTTTGTCTTAACGATAGTGATACATAAACAGCTAATACCAACTACAATTAAAATGAAACAAAATTTGATGCAATCTTCAAAACCTTGCTTAAAAAATAGTTAATTAGGCTTCTAATTACTTTCTAAATAATTAGCACACAGATTATTTGGTCATTTATTCTAATTCAAAATGCATGCTTTTCCTTACCTTACACAATTTTTTTTTTAAAATTGTAAGACTATATTTTGCGTAATAAAAACTTCAGCGCATAAAAGCAACTAAGGTTCCGTAGTTTTGACTGAAACATAAGATGGCTTCTTTTGAACTCTGTTTCTTCTTCATCCTGTCATCCCCTGTTCTTTTCTTGGCAGCCGTTGAATCCTGCGGCGGTTCCTGTGGAGATCAAGATATCCGCTTCCCTTTCAAGCTCACCAACCAACCCGAGCACTGTGGGTATCCGGGGTTCGATCTCTCGTGCAAGGACAGCCAAGCAATCCTGACCCTGCCATCGTCCGGTAAATTCACGGTCCAAAGCATCGATTACACGGATCAAACTATCTGGCTCAATGATCCCGATCACTGCGTCTCGAAACGTCTCCTTAAATCCTTCACTCTTTCAGGCTCCCCTTTCCAAGCTCGATTTCCTCAAAACTTCACGTTTCTCAATTGCTCTTCTGATGGAACTTCGGCAGGTTGGGGACCATTTGGGATTGTTGATTCATGTCTTAGCAACGGGAATTATACTGTTGTGGCAACACCGACGGACTTTTACAGTGACTATGGCGCCTATGGGCCACTCCAATCCTGTTCGGAGATAGCCACGGTTGTGGCTCCTGTTTTATGGCCGGTTTGGTCAGATCCTAGTATGGGTATTAAGTTAACATGGAAAGAACCCAATTGTCGATCCTGTGAAAGGCGTGGAGGGACTTGCCAGTTCGCTAGTAATTCGGGTCTGGATGTTGGATGCGCCGGCGGTCTCAGCAACGGTAGGTGGCCTGCCATGTTCCACGCTCAATCTTCATCTTATTTAATTTAAATGCAACAGCCCTTGCCACGTATGCTGCAATTTCAATTCACTAGAAATTACTCTTACTTTCACTTTTATAAAAGTAGGTATATGGGCACTTGCCCCTCCGGTCTAATGCAGTTAAGTCACATTTAATTACATCTTTTTTTTTCGGGGCAATAATTTAAATTCAATTCATTGTAAAATTATTTTAAAAGAACATAAAAATTGGTATATATATAATATTGATATTTTTACATTTGATAGAATAAGTATATCATGGATGGTAAATTTGTTGGAAAAAAAACAAAAAAAAAAAGATGCTTTATTAATTTTAGAGAATGACAATTAATAAGAAATAAAAACAAACATGATTGGAAATTATAATTTAAATTGTTTTAGGTTGTATAATTTTAACTATTTGATGAATGAGTTCTTTGATATTAAAGATTATCTTTTTTATTCAATAGTTTAAATTTTATAATATCATATAATTTAAATTATAAAATAAAAAATTTTAAAATTAAAAGACACATATTTGTAAAGTGGGTAATTTATTATAATATTTTTTGCTTCAATAAATAGCTGTACATATAGTAGTAGAAGTAGCCTCAATGTATAATGCCTCCTAATTAGATTTTTTTAAATTTGGTACTAATCATTCATAATGATTGACATATAGGTATTTCGAAAGGGGTCAAATATGGCCTAATTTTTGGTCTAGGAGTACCCTTCTTGTTCATTTTAGGGATCACATTTTTTCTTCGGCACAATATAAGAGGTCGTTACCAGAGCAGCAGTGCAAACACCGATACAATCTCAAGTTCGGTTGCCCTGGGGTCTGCTTCTGCTGTAAAGGGTCTCGATGGACAGACAATTGAATCATATCCAATAACTGTGCTGGGAGTAAGCCGACGACTTCCCAAACCCAGTGACAATACTTGTTCTATATGTCTAGGGGAGTATCAAGCTAAAGAGACATTAAGGACCTTACCAGACTGCCAGCATTATTTTCATGCCGATTGTTTAGATGAGTGGCTTAGACTGAATGGAACATGTCCCTTGTGTCGCAATACGCCAGAGGTGTGATAGAAATTTTTTTTCCCTTTTTGTTGATCAACAGGTGTGGTAGAAATTAAATTTGTTCTCCTTTGAAGTTTGAACATGTATTACACTCTAGGATACACGTAGGAAGAATTTGAAAGACATTCACAGGCACATTGTGATAAACAGGGTGGTTTTGGCTTTAATTTATACCATGATTTTTGGGTTGTCAAATAATTGAAATTTATGTAGAAATGAGCCTTTCGGTTTTTATTTTTTATTTGTGAATTTGGACACAGTAGCTTGATATTGGTTTTTTGTTTTAATGTTAGTGGCAAGGGAGCAACATACAATTGACCAAAAATTAAAAAAAGAGATTAACTTCAATTATTAAAGGCAAAATTGACAAAAAAAAATTGTTGAAAGCTTGAATTACAATTTCTAAAAGTTATAAAACCAATGTGACATACATATATTTAAAAAAAAAAAAAAAAAAAGGGTTCCTAAGTTATTAGAAAAGTGAACCAAAGTTCTTCATTAAGAAAAAAAAATTAAAAAACAAAAAAACACATACACACACAGAAGACCGAAGAGAGTACCAAAAATGGGCCGAAATTACTGGGCTTAATAACAAAATGAAAAATCCAATTAGCCCTAGTAGGTAAAGAGAAAGAGGGCAACGAAGAAACTGGTAAGCAAGTGCAATTTTGGGGTGCCCGTTTCATCGGAAGGTCTGAAAACAGCTTGAGAGACGGTCAGTTTCATATGTTCCTTTCATTTTTCAGTTATTTTTATGTTTGAATTTCTGAACTTTAACTCCCTAGATCTATATTATCTTGGAGCACCAAAATTAAGCTCATAGATTTTAGCTTGTTTTATGTTCACAGTGGGTTTTTTTTTTTTTTTTTCTTGAAAAAACACTTATCGTCTTCATAATCCCTGAGAACCAACTGGTTTCATAGTTTAATTGTGAGTTTCCTTTGTTTTTGGAGTTGGGTTTTTAGCTGAATACTGTTTAGTGGATGATGGACCTGCTATTGCTTTGGTTTTGATTGATCTTTTGTATTTTTTTTTTTTTTTTTGATATAGAGGAATTCCATTCTTCTTCGTATAAATGGCTTATGCACGTAGCCTCTCTACCAGAGCTACCATTATTGCTCGAAGATGCCAACCATCTTTTGCTTACATTCTCCATGACGATAATCGTAAACATCAGTCTCCTGTTGAGTCTCAGTCTCAACTAAGAGACAATGGTTTTTCCCAGCATAGGTTTTTTGGAAGTGGGTTTTACAATTCAACTGGGATAGGTGTATTTTTCCAAGAGGGAAGATGTTCACAGTTTTCCCTTTTGCCGAGGAATGGTTACTCATCTTGCCGGTATATGTCCACTACTGTTGGTGATGGGTCAGATAAGGTTGAGCTGATGAGTGATGTTGTTGAGGTTCTTAAGGATACTACTGTTGATGTGGTGACTTCACAGGCCCCTGTAGTGAATGAGGTTGCTCTTGCTGCAGCTGATTCTTATTTACCCGTTGCAGCCTTGCAGCATTTTGTTGATGTGGTTCATTCCTTTACTGGCTTCAACTGGTAAGTGATTCTATATAGTCTAGGGGCTAGAACTTGCTTGGTATATCCTCAATCATTATGTTTCATTATAAATGTTGCATTAGAAATTCAGTTAAAACAACAATTCTTTAAGTTTTCTTCTTTCTGGTTGGATTAAATTCATGGCATATGCAGTATCATCCTCTGGCCTCTTAGGTCATAATTTCATATGTTCTCGAATATTTGACGACACACTTTGGCATTTAAATCTTTGGATCTTCTCTCTCTCATTTTTTTTTTTTCAGGTGGGCTTCCATAGTTGTAACCACCCTTCTGATTCGAGGGGCAACCCTTCCACTTCTAATTAATCAGATGAAATCAACTGCAAAACTGACGGTATGCCACGTTTCTTTTCTCTGTTTCTGGTTTCTTCTGTTAAATTTTTCTTACTTGTGCACATGCTTCTCTGTGATGTATGCAACAACTCCATATACTAGTTAGTTATGAGTAAGTATCTAAAATTTGACGAGTATTATATAATTTGAATGAAGGAACTTTTGTGTGCAAGTAACAGCCATTTGCTGTAGCCTACCATCTTCATGTTGACATCATATGGTGTTGGGTCTTGCTTCAGTCCTTCACTCCCTCATTTATGAAACAATGAAACTGAGATGCATCCTCTTATTTTTTTAATGCTTTAAAAAATTTCACATTTGATAATAAAAAGAAAGAAGTTGCTTGATATCATGGGAAAGCAACTTGTATTACCTTTATGGACATGAACAAACAAAAAACAAGTTATATCTTTATCTTCACATCTTTTTTATCCTCATTGCTGGCTCCTATATGCTCACTTTAAATGTCTCCTTTTCTTTATGACATTTGATTCACACAAATATTCTATTCTTTCTCTCATTCTTTGAAATTTTATTTGGTTCTGGATTTTTAATTATTTGTGCTATTCTGCAGCTCATGAGGCCACGCTTGGAAGAGCTCAAACAGCAAATGGTGTGTTGCTTGCTTTTCTGTTAATGTGTTACATATGCTAAACGTGTCGCCTTCTATTGACTCCATTTTTAGGACTAATATTATCAATAACATTTGAAGCATGTTTAGTTTCATTGGATTTGTTGGGGTACATGAATTTAAGCCTGTGGCCTTCTCTTTTCAAAGGGTTTCTGTATGTTGAGCTCTGGAATATGTGTTTGATCAAACTACCACAGCCATTATATGCCTAACTTTAGCTAATCTGTTTTTGGACCTTTTTCTTTCCACTATGATTCTTTTAGGAGATAATGTTTTGGATAAGTGGTTCATTCTTTTGTGGTAACAAATACTCCATTATTTTTCTTTTCAGGGCATGGATCCTGAGGGTATGCTTGAAGGTCAAAAAGAAATGAAAAAGCTTTTCAAGGAGTAAGCAACCTTTTCACGTAAGAGGATTAATCGGGTTTTTAATCTTTTGCTATCTTTAGAAGCTAAATGCTTAACCATTGGTAATTGTGTTTGAGTCATTAAGACAAGTTTGTGTGCTTGTTAGGGCTACTTACTCCATAAAACATTTTAAATACTTACTAATGACAAATACCATGATTCTATCTCTAAAACCAATTGATTTACTGTTCATACTATAATCCTTTTATTTCCTGAAATGATGGGCATAGTAAATGAGTTCAGTTCTTGTTCTTTTTGTTCAAAGTAGAAGGGATGATGCTACTGGCAATTTTCTCAATTTTTTGTCTACTTCCAGCTGAAGGATTTGGGCATGGTTTTGTTCCCTATAAATGATGCTAGAATTTTTATTTATTTATTTATTTTTTAGTTATCAATGCTAAAAGCAATTGATTGTTTTGAATAGTGAGATTGAAATGTTATGTCATTTTTTTTTTATTGGTGAAATGTTATTTCAATTATAATATGATATATTTGTAGTTTTTAACTCACAAACTTTTTGACAAAGTGCTTCAGATAAACATCTATTTAAGTGTAATTTCTTTCTCAAGTGTTTCCAACATTTGCAATGTGATTTTTTTTTATTGCAGATATGGTGTGACTCCATGGACCCCAATGAAAGGGCTCTTTATTCAAGGGCCCATCTTTATCAGTTTTTTCCTTGCTGTAAGATAAATTTCTTTTAGTAATATTCTGCAAATTGATTTCTTGTTTGATTTTTAAATTTAAATATTTGTTTCTGGTTACTTCATTTTTCCGCCCCAGATATCAAACATGGTAGAAAAAGTTCCTTCATTTAAAGATGGTGGTGCATATTGGTTTACAGATCTTACAACTCCAGACAGTTTGTATATATTTCCAATTTTGACAGGACTGAGTTTCTTGATAACAGTAGAGGTATACTTCTTTTTAATTATATGAGTGGGATCGATAATTGCATGAAGCACTATTATCTTAATAATAAATCTTTGTTTTTTTTTTCCCCCTCAAGTCAGATTTCAATTAACTAACCTCTATCCTTTCTCAGTGCAACATGCAAGAAGGTATGGAAGGAAATTCTGTAGCTGGCACCATGAAAAATGTTTCTAGGGTCCTTGCTGTTCTCACAGTTCCATTTACCAGTACTTTCCCAAAGGTAATGTTATTTAGTTAGTGCATGATATCTTTCCCAAACGGCTGTTAAATCCCATAAGCAATTTTAGTTCCCAGTTCTTTTTCAGCTTAGTTGGTTAAATTTGTTAAAATATGAACTGCTTTCACCATTGGTAAGTGAGTGCTTATGTCTGCTTCTCGCTGAGTCTCTTTTTCTCAAATGCCAAGTTTTTTCTTTTCTTTTTATTTCCTGATTTTTTAATTTTTTATTCTCCATGCTAGGCTACTAACTATTTATGATAAAATTCACTTTCTCCATCTGCAGGCTATATTCTGTTATTGGATCACATCAAATTTGTTTTCCCTCACCTATGGACTAGGTGAATGTTTCACTATTTACAAACAAATTAAACTTCATCTGCTATATTCATTCAAACTCCCTGATTCAGGAGCTTTGTTTTTTTGTTTTTACTTGACTATGCTGAGCGTTCTTTTATTTTTTTCGTTTTTTTCATTCTGTAGTGCTTAAAGTTCCAGGAGTGAAGAAGGCTTTAGGTGTTCCAGACATACCTGTGCCACCACCTCAAACACAATCGCAGCCTTCTTTCAATCTTTTCTCAGCAATCAAACAAGCCAAGACTGCAGCCCATAAGCTAACCTCATTACCCGTAGAATCACCAAAAGTGTCAAGCCAAAAGTCACCTTCTTCTTCAGTTGTCAATCAGAAACTTAGAAGTTTGGAGAAACAAGTAAAAGGTAGGAAGAAGAACAAAAAGAGGTGAGGAAGTTACCCATACGGAAGTGTTATAAATCAGGTCAAGAAAACTATGTCTCCTTGTTGACTGTAATTCATATTTTCATACAATTTTTGTTGGGCTCAGGATTAGGGCCGCGCAGAGGGCTTTAAAATTTAGGGTGGAAGATTGATTAACTAATAAGGTTAAAATAAATTTTGCTTGAATTTGGTAAAAGGGCAATTTAGTTGATTATGCCTGCCTGGCTATTACGTGATACTTGCAGGCTTCCAAAGGTTTGTACATGTTTGCCATCAAAAAGATTATGCTCCGTCCTTACTTCAACCAGTCTTTCGGGATCTAATGGTTTGTTCTCAAGTCTTAATACTTGGGTGGGATTGGTCGAGATTTTGAATCTCACTAACTACTTAAATATTTACGTTAGTTCTACGGATTATTGGTACTTCTCTTAGCCCATGAGCTAGGCATTCCCTTCCCCCCTCTCCTGTTATTGCCCTTGTTGAAAAGATGCTTGGTTCTCACTTATAGACCCGTTTAGAATAAGAAATCTTAGCAAGTGCTGGGTGGGATTAGTGACGATTATATCATGCTTTGGGGTATTTTTTGATAGTCTTGTAATTAAAATTAGTTTATATTAATGAAACTTTGCTATCAAAAAGATTTTGCTCCGTTTTCAATTATAGACCCGTTTAGAAATTAGAAATCTTAGCAAGTGCTATGTGGGATTGGTGATGGTCATGTCATGCTCTGTTTTCTGACAGTCTTGTAATTTAAATTAGTTTATATTAATGAAATTTGTTTCTCATTAAAAAGGGGGGGGGGGTGTGAATTTTGCTTGAATTTTGTGTTTTAATTAATTTCACACCTCCAAATGCATCTCAATTCCATTGTGATGATGGTTTCAACTGATCTTTATTTCCCCTTTTTAAGTTTTAACGTTGGTTCATTCCTCATACACACATTCGGTTGAGGGTAAGGGAATTCGAACCCATTTCCCAAGGATGAGGTAAGTACAACTTACATTAATTGAGTTACAAATTCGAAGTATGGGAGCAAAGTAGGTTCACGTTTAAGATGTCTAATGTACTAGTACCGAATTTTTAGATGGCCTAACAGTACCAAATTTGAATTGCAGTTAGGTGTCCATTGTTTTGGTCACGGAATCCTTCAATGAGAAAACGACTTTACGAAAGAAATTGTATGACCTTGTGAGTTCTACTTGCTGACCCCATTTTAGGACCTTTTTCATCTCCAATACACCCAAGTTAGATTCAGTTGTTATTTTCTAGTCTATCATCCCAGTGAAAAAAAATAAAAAAATTATAAATGTTTCCATCTTTTTGTTATACGTTCCATCCTCCGCCCCACCTAAGTACCACCTATTTATTGGACTTATGGATTTTTTATTGTTACAACTAATTTTGGAACAAATCGATAGCATCAAACATGGGTCATTTGACGGTTCAAAATATAAAAAATAAACTAATTATAAACTGAAGGAAAAAAATAAAAAAAAAAACTTCGTACGTTGATTAAAACAAATCATTGAGTTAAAAGCCCTTTTAGATATAAAGTAATTTATGTAAATAAATTAAATTATAAATTAAAATAAAACAAAACAAAAAAAAATCAAGCATACGAATCTAGATTTGCATTATAATGAACAAAAATAAGAATAATGAATATAAAACTTAAATCTAGGGCTAAAACATTTATCGACAAAGTTAATAAATAACTATGAAATAAGTATAAAATAACATAAAAAAAGATAATTAGAATAAATTCACAACAACTTAAATTTAACAATGATTCTTCGTTACCATCGGAAAAACCTAATTAAAAGATTAAAACTTCTCTCCCATACAAGTTAGAAATCAAACAATATAATCAATTAGTAATTACAGATAAAAAAATTAAAAATTAAATATTTAAAGTCTTAAGCCAAAAAAAATTAATAATTACAATAATTAATAACTGTAGAATAATGTCTCAAAAGAAATCAAAAATGTCACTGGATCTAAAGATTCAAGTGCAAATACTTGAAATAGTTGATAATTAATATAAAGTATGAAATCAGCTTATAAATCAGTATTTTTAAAATCCATAACTAGCTTAAAAAATTCTATAAACTATAAAGGGAAAAAAATAAAGCAAACCAAATACATCCAATATAAATTCTCTCCAACTAAAGTTCCACAAATTTCCAGCATCTGCTAACTAGAAATTTTAATCCAGTTGGCGTTTCCTTTTTTGGGTATGTAAAATAAATTAATAGGAGTAGTACTCTAATTCTTAAAAATTACAAGTGGTCCAGAGTTAGGGTATTGTTCAAACTGATGCGGGGTAGCAAGGCAATAAACATGCTCTCGGCTAAAACGTTAAAAAAGGCAAAAAAACATGCCCAAAGTCTTCCTTTTTTTTTTTTAAGGCAAAAAAACATCTCCGCCACACACTGAAAGCAAGTGGTTCACAGGCTCCTACTGTTGAGATCTAAGCCATTACCATTAGCT